TTGTGTGGCGAGACACTGAGCCTTTCCCCCCGCGCCCAGCTGCTGGGCTCTGCCCTGACCGGCAGCACCCGCCGGGCCCGCGCTTGGGTTCATTTTCAGGCAGTTGCAGGCACCCATCCCAGGGCCCCCGGGGGCAGCCGGGGCTGTGGGGTGGCTGTGACAGGGCTGGTAATCATTATTTGCAGTGTTTGATAACAGAAAGGAAAAGAAGTGGAAGAAGCGCTGGTAGTGCTGGGGTGGGAGGTGCAAATGTGCTGTGTCCGCTGGAGGTGGGAAGGGGTGGGTTGGAAAGGTAAAGTGGGATTGCTTCACTGGAGTTGTGCAGTGACCCATGGTTAAAGCTTGGTGTCCCTTCGGAGCCTGTGGGGTTTTCAGGGTTGATAAACGGGTCAGGACCTCGGCATCGTGCTCACCTTTCACACGTGTGATCAGTGCAAGAGGGGTTTGCAGGAGTGGGCTGGGCTGGTGTTCCCTCGTGTGCTTCCCTCTCTTCTCCTTTGGCATCTCCTGCCTGGGAGACTGGCAGCTCCTGGCAGAGCCATGCCCGGGGCCACCAAGTCCACACTGGTGCTGGAGAGGCTCGGTGGCCAAGGAGGAGCAGGGAGCGAGATACACACAGAGGCTAAAGAAGCTGCCGACCTGCAACGTCCCAGTGAATTTTATTCCCTGCCAGCTTCCCTCTCTGAAGCAGCTTCCCCCATGGCAAGTGCAAAACAGCAAACTGTAAATCAGGGAGGAGAGAACATGGCTTTTCCCCTGGGAGCTTCACTGGGCAGGGAGGTCAGAGGGTTCCTGGTGAGCTGGCGCCAGGAGATCAGCTGAGCTGCAGACCCTGATTCATGACCCGGCTGCTCCCAAGGGACTGAGTGACTTCATGACTCGGCCCCCAGTGTTTCCTATTGCTGGCTGACTTCTGCAGGGGTGCTGGAAAAAAAATCATTTAAGTTAGTGAATCATGGATGTGTTGCTTGACTCAAACTGTCGAAGTGGACCCTGGGGCTGCTCTCTGCTTGGTCTCCATGGTGTGGTGGGAGTGCTGAGCCCGTGTGTTTGTTTCCCTTGCAGGTGTCCCGGGTGCCCGTGGAGTCCTGTGGGCAGTACACGACCTGTGGGGAGTGCCTGAGCTCGGGGGACCCACACTGTGGCTGGTGCACCCTCCACCACACGTAAGTCCAGCCTTGGCTGTTTCCTTGGAGCTGCTGGTGCTGATGATAAAAGCAGCTTTCAAAGCCACCAAGTGCCTCCAGTGCAATCTCTGCAAAAGTGAATTAGGTTGAAGTTCCCTGCATCCATTTTTCTCTCCTGGGAATGTTCCCTGTGCTGCAGTGTGAATGCCATTGAAAATCCCTGAGCTTCTGTAAAGAGGTAAAGGGAAAAAATCCTTCTTTGGGAGCTGTGGGTCACACAGTGTGTGGAGAAGGTGCCTTGGACATAACAGGAAAGCAGAATTTAAAGTGGTAGGAAGAGGCCTCGTGTTTTGCACACTCCTGCTGGTCCAAGCCACGAGTTGCTCCCAGTTAATGAGGAATTTATAAAGACAGTAGTAGGGTTGGTTATGTGAGTGGGACTTTCAAAGGTGTTTCAGCACCAAGCCCTGTGAAATGCCTTGGGAGGGGAGATGTAAGTGCTGTGTGCCATGGTCGGGCAGTGCAAGGCTGGGAGCTGACAGCCCCTCACACACACCAACAGGCACAAAGGGCTCAAGGTTGGTTCTATTTCAGGGGAGCTCCAGGAAGTGCTCTCTGCATTCAGGAGGTGTTAGTGTCCTTCCTTTCTCTGCCCCTCCACATTAAGCATCACTTCCTACGGCGGAAGAGGGACCACCAGGCAAAGGCAGATTGGAGGAGGGGGGGGGGAAAGGCTGGAGCAGAGGAATAGAAATCCCTCCGGCCGTGTGCCAGCTTGCAGAGCAGCACTGCTAGGGGCATGGAAATCGGGGCGGAGGCAGAGTTCAGGGGCCCCCACAGCAGAGCTTGGCCCTGTGCCTGGGCAGCAGGTGCTGGGAGGGAGTGAAGGGTGACAGGCTCCTCCACAAATCCGGCCTGGATCCGGACCTGTGGGCTTTGGGGTGCAGATGGGCTCCCCACAGCCTGCCTGCTTTGCAGAGTCGGTGCCACTCTTGGGGAGGTGTGAGAGAAGTGGAGCAGGTGCTGGCCCAGAGCATCCTGCAGGCTCCAGGTGGGCTGGGGCACTGGCCGAGCAGCCCCTCCAGCAGCACCGAGCGTGGGGCACACGCACCCTGGGCATCTTTTTTAGCTTTTTTTCCTTTCAGAGCAGCCTGTCCAGCCCTATGGCTAAGGCACCATATGGGCAGTTGTGTCAAAAAATCTGTACTGCCACAGCAGCTTTGTAAGAAGGAGGTGATTTCCATCCCTTTGCCTCTTCTCTCGGGGCAGCCATCCCCAGTGTGCCTTTCCAGAGGTTGGGACAAAATCCCCTGCAGCCTTTGGCAGTAAGGGGGCAAGGAAGCAAGGGAAGGGGACGTGCTGTGTGTCTACGGGTGTGTGCTGACCCAGAACTGAGTGTAGTGACAGCAGCAGTGCTCGTGAAGGAGCTATCTGGGAGGGTTCAGCCAGTGAGCAGTGGAGCAGCTGTTGGTCGTGGCTGGCAGGGGAGCTCTAGTGATGACCCTGAACCCAGGAGGAACCATCTGGGAGCTGGCACAGGAACAGACCGTGACTCCTGCCCTGACAGAGGTGGTTGGTGAGTCAGTGGCCATAGGCAGCACGTGCCTTGTGCTGGGCTTGAAGACATTTGAGAAAGTGTTAAAAACCAGCAGGAAGGGAAAGATGTTTGTCCTTCTGCAGGACTGCTCTGCTTGCCCAGTGGTCCCTGGAGCAGCTGGGCAGTGGCTGAGCAGCCCCTGCCTGCCCTCCTACTCCAGCCAGGGGTCTGCTCACCATTCAAGTTCATCCTCTCCATGTGAGAAGAAGGATCCTCTGATCCTCCTCCTCTGCAAACATTGCTCCTTGGGACCAAGCAGAAGCCTCAAGGAGACTGTAAAGAGTCTCTTCAGCCCAGAGGATTTGCAACCTGCAAGACTTCCATATGCTGCTCTCTACAAGTGTGTTATTGTCTACAGACCTATTTATCTCTGTTAGGGCAGTTGCCATAAATAGTATGATAAAAAGAGCCATTCCAGCGAGTCAATGAGATAAAGGCTCCAGTCAAGAGCTCACTTTAAAGCTATCTTAGAGATTCACTTAAACCTCAATAATTCTTCCTTTGGCACCATTCATATTTAGCTCCATTATACCAAAAAAAGAAAAAAAGAAAAGAAAAAAAAAAAAAAGGAAAAAAAGAAGAAAAGAGGGTGAGGAGAACAGCAAGAGTTTTTGCTGGGGATCACAGGGGTGGTTTGGAAAGGAAAGTGTCAACTCTAGTTTCTTAATCAAAAGCAAATGGCCTCGCAGGGAAGGTGCAAGTTCTCCACTCCAGCTCAAAGAGCCCTGGTTTGCAGCAGGACAGAGCAGGATGTACCTGGAGAAACAGCCTCTGCTGAGGTTGTGGATGTCTGAGCCCACCCAAGCTGCTCCACAGGGAACCAGGAAAACAAGCACTTTGACAGCAGCACCTTGTTATTTCGGGTAACACAGACACTCAAGTGTTTGTCAGGAGGGAACTTGCTGGTGGCACATGGGGCTGCTGACAGCACCTCCGTCCTCTGACCTTTGAGCCACCATTTGAAATAAGGCCCAAGAGCAGCAATGAGTGAAAAGTGATGAAGTTTGCTGATAGCTTATTAAGACCATTAACACCAAAAGGCCAATGTGTCATCTGTGCCCAGGGAGGGGGGTTGGAAGAAAAGAATTTTCCCCAGAAGACGTGAAATGGAAAGTGGCTGCAGGATGCTGGCACTGTGCTGCAGGCTCTGCTCTGGTTTGAAACACAGACAATTCTTTCTTGGTTTCCTGGTGGGTGCTCTTCCATCCATAAATTAACTTCACTCCAAGGATACCTGCAATAGAAAAACAGGGAGAAGGAGCCATCCTGGAGCACACAGCACGCGAGGAGCAGCCGGCAGCCACCGGGGGATCCCGTTCCTGGCCCTACCACACTCCTCAGCTTTAGGACAATACTATTAATGAACTATTTGTTTTTGTTTTAATTAGAATGGAGGTATGATCCTGTTATGGCCTGTAACTGCTTTATGGTTTAGTTCCCGTGCAGGTTATGGGTTTATGGCTTGCAGGGGCCCCACCAAGCAGTGGTAGAGTGTCTGGCTCACCCTGCACCCGCTGCCACTGCTGGCACGTGGGACTTAGCAGCTCTGGATTGTGTCCCAGTGCAGGCAGGACTGGGAATTGCTCCTGAGATACTTGTGCTTGGTCTTTCCTCTCATCAAAGAGTGTTTTTCAGTGCCCTTTTAGTCCTCACCTGCAGTCTGTGCCTGATACAGAGCCCCTGGTCCTGCTGGTAACTCCCCCTTTCCCTGACCAAGGCTCTGCACTCCTGTGTAGCTCGTCCCTGAGCAGCTGTGGCACCTCGTGCTGTTGGACACCTTCCGGGGTGCTTGGTGTGCTGTGAGGTGTGCTGTGAGCTGTGCTGTGAGCTGTGCTGTCCCTGAGCTGTGCTGTGCTGTGTGGCAGGTGCTCCCCGCGGGACAGCGGCGGGCGGAGGAGCTCACCCGCTTTGCGGGCAGCATCAGCCGGTCCATGAGCCTCACCGTGCGGCCCAGCAGCATCTCCGTGTCCCAGCACAGCCTCCCGGTAGGTGCTGCAGGCAGGGGGGCACCTGTGAGGGGTGAGAGGCATTTCCAGCGTGTTTCAGGATCACAGTGACCAATCCATTCTCCAGCCTTTCTCTCTGCCCCTTGGCACAAGTGTTTTCCCATGAAGTCAGGCTCGCAGAGGGACTGGGGAGGGAAGGGGCCACCTGAGCCGGGGAAGCAGGGGGTGGGGATGGCAGAAACAAATTCCCCTTCCCCTTGGGCCTCAGCTCATATTTCTCTTGGTCCGGTTTCATTAGCTGTTGAAAGGAAAGGCTTTGTTTCCCAAAAAGCTCATGTGTGAGCTGTGCTCAGGCCTGGCTCTCTGAAGCATCCCAGCTGTTGCCCCCCAGGCCCCCCAGCACCCCGTGGCAGCTGGTCCTGCTGCAGCCCCTTCCTGTGCCCCCAGGGGTCTGCCTGCCCCCCTGCCCCCCAGCACTTGGCATTGAATTGTCATGGGGCTGTTGGGAGG